GGGGGGGGGGGGGGGGTACCTTGTCCTCCCAGTAATCCATAGGCTCTTGTCCGAGATCGAACACTGACGCCAGCGGGTTTATCCCCGAGTAGCCAGACCCATCCTCGTCTGTAGAGAAGGCCAAAGCCTGGGACGCCAACGTTTTCAGGTCCTGCAGGTAGATTGCACAAAAGTATGGCACACGACCAAAAAAACGTTACGAGCGTAGCACATGGTCGGTAGACAGAGTAGCAGCTCGGGATACAATGAATACTTTCGGTTCAACATATTTGCTAAACTTAACGAAGAACTAAAGCATCATATATAGATACTCAACGTAAAATTATAAATACATGTGCTTGAATTGAAGTAAAGCAACCGCTAATTCGAGACCAAGACAGCTGAAACTCATAAAGGTACGATATGAGTCACCGGGAGAGGGGGCGAGGGCGAGGGCGACGGGGCAAGGATATACACACAAGCATCGAGATGGTCTTGATACCTTGATACTACAAGCCCGAAGAAGGTCACAAGTCAGGGAGCGCGTGGGGGAGGGGGCGAACGCAACTCCCGCAAAATTCGTCAAAACAAAGCGTGGAAGCACCTTCGCATCTGCCTATCTTCACGCATACCTGTTAGATAAGTCAATGACTGAGTAGCATAGTGTATAAGTCTCTATCTAGCAAAGGATATACTCGTAGGCTCTTAGCCTCCAATCCCAGCTGGATCATGAAGAGATAGGGATCTCCGGGGTCAGACCCCTCGCCACGCGCTGCTGATAAAGTAGCTAGGGTGCTTCAAAAGTGATCCAGCAGGGATTCCAACCCGTGCGACATATTCTCTTCCTGCATACACAAGCCCTACCGCAACACACACACAATCCCGCATTCAGGTTACTCGCCTCGTGCTCTGCTAGTAGCTCCTCTGCTTCCCCTTCCACCGCCATGTACCCGTACTTGATTGCCCACATGTCATACTCGCCGACACGTGGAGTGAAGAAATGTGGCACCGCAGAGCCCTGCATCTTGCTGCGAAACAAAGAAAAAACAACGGGAAAGGAAAGAAAGAGAATTCGCAAGGTTCTTCCTGTTCCAGATATGGG